CAGTCTGACTGCAGTTGTCTGCTTTAGGTGGATGAAGCGGTTGCCGTGCTGCAGGCTCACCAGGCCAAGGAAGCTGCTCAGAAATCGGTGACCAATTCAGCCAGTGTGCCGAGCGTCTAGGCAGAGGTGAGCCCTCAAAGCTGAACTTGATTCCTCTACAGACCTTATGGAACTTCTTCATTTGGTGTGTGAGACGTTATTTCTTTTGTAGTAAAATTTGAGCTGCCATGTCTGTGAGGATGTTGGTCACCCCTCAAAGCTGAATTTGTTCTCCAAGCAGACCTCATGGTGCTTCTCCCACTTTCTGCTGGGGTTTTGACCTCCTTATTAATGGTCTCTGCCAGTGATAGGAAGGTCACTAGTTTGAATCCCAGGGCTGGCAGATTGGTGCCACCTCTGGGCCACTGAACCCTCAGCTCCAGGGGCACTGCATGCTTACTGACCCTTTGCTGTGACACACCCCCCCAAGCTTACTCTCACCTGTCTGTGTGTCTCATGGAGAGTAAGATGGAGTAGGCAAAAATACAATTTCCCCATGGGGGTGCATAAATTACATTTAGCATTGTTGCCTGACACTTCTGGAACTAGGGTTCGAGTCTCCGCCATGGCTGCACGTGTGGAGTTTGCATGTTTTCCCCGTCATCGTAGGGTTCCTTTTCACGTATGATGGCCTATTCTGCCCTCCTGTCATAAGACGCCATTATAAATATACTATAGACTGGCCATTCAGCATCAGGTTTGACTTAATATGGTCACTTTGCTCCACTCACCAGGGCCCTCTTACTGTTTCTCGTACAAGGTTAAAGACAGGCTGCGATGGCGCCTTCCAGATGCTGGTACACCCTTCCTCCTGCTTTCTGGACTGCCGACACTATCGATGCCCTCAAAAGACACATGCAAAATGGAGACTGTAATTTCAAATATATTTTAATATATGCATTTTCTTTCTGTAAAATGCAAAGTCACTGGTATCACATCGCGAAGCATTAATTTTGTAATAAATTTGTTTATTTTCCATGACGTCTGTATTTTATGACAGTTCAAGTAAGATGCTCTTAATAAAGACACCTTTTCATCAAAAAGTACACCATGTAACCCCAGTGTTGGAAGTGATTTTATTTTACAAAACTGCAAAATTAACGACCAAAATATTATGATGTAATATTCATTTTAATTACCTTTGTGATAGTTTTGATTATTCATGACATTAGTTTTAGTCACTGTTGTCACTGATGTGGTGTAGCACCCGTGAGTGTAACATAACCCAGCCCTTGGGGACCCACAGATGGTCCATGTTTTTGCTCCCTCCTAGCTCCCTGTCAGACAGTTCACATTTTTGCTCCCAGCTGGAAGGGGGCAAAAAGGGGACTGTCTGCAGTTCACCAAGGACCAGATTGGGAAACACTGGTTTAGAGGTTCAATGAGTAAAACTGGTACTATATGTTTCAGTGACTTCATCATTTTGCGCATTTTGTTTTTTCTCATTCGCAAAACACAGTCACTTAATTGTATGAGTATTTCTATTAAATTCCACATCTTTATCTGATATTGATAACAGTGCATTGTAAAAAAAAAACTTGCGTTTCATATCAAATATATGACATGAAATTTGGTGAGAATGATATAACAATAGCTATCGATTTCCTTAGCGTTTTAAAATGTTTGCTTTGAATTTTATCCCGGATAACCCCAGCGACCCTGGATAAGACGGATGGATGGACTTTGAATTTTAATTTGATGTTTAAAAGGTTATTCATCATATATCGTTAGTCGTACAATACAATTATTGACAGCCACAGAGGAGTATTTCAAGACGCCACAAGGCACAAATGACGAAAACTGACACTGAATTACTGAACTAAAGTTACATTTTTTAGTAAAGAAGCTAACAGCGACGCCACAACTGTATAAAGGTACTTCGGCTGCTGCAGTCCAGAGCAGCGCGGAACGTTTCATTTTCAAAGGATTTTTCAGAAATGGTACATTCCAGTGACGCAATGGAGAAACTATATATTCCACTACATGCGCATGGAGCGCCTCCCTAAACCCCGGCTGTTAGTGCTGTGTGAGTGAGTGTGTGCCCGGAGCTCTCCTCGGCACACATCTTATATAAAAAATTAAAAAACAAAAAAAATTTACAAAACCAACAAAAACAACAAAAAATTGTTTCCTTTTGTAACATAAAATTAAAAATAACTGGTGAAGCGGGACTAGCAACGAGTGGACCGAAGAGTAGAACGAAGGAAATATTCGACGCGTGAAGCCGGCTAGCTAGCTAGCTAACGTTACTGCTGAAGCGAAAGGCCTTTTGAATTTTAAACTCGACTTGTTTGAATTTTTATCTCGCTTGCTCGCACAGACCGACGTAACCTTTTGATATTTCGCTGAGCTGAACACACTTGATTTTTTTTTTACCTCGACTGTGGGCCGACAAGCGTTATTTTTGATCAATTTACCTGCGTATTGTGTATCGTTGGCTAGCCGGTCCAGTTTGCCATCGACGGCCGTCTCAGATTTTCAAATTAGGAGTTTGGCGTGTCGATTTTTTTTTTTTTTTAAAGAAAACTATTAGGATTTTATTTTTTACTTCTGTCGAGCTCAATAAATAAAAAGATACGAAGATGAATAACAGCGGACCCAGTTACCCAATGGCCTCCTTGTATGTCGGCGACCTACACCAGGATGTGACCGAAGCCATGCTTTACGAGAAATTCAGCCCGGCCGGCCCGATCCTATCCATCCGAGTGTGTCGTGACATGATAACTCGCCGCTCCCTCGGATATGCCTATGTCAACTTCCAGCAGCCCGCCGACGGTAAGCTAGGCGCCCTGGCAGCGGACACGTTTTTTAAACGCGATTCCTCCGGCTTGGTGGCGGCGATGCTGGAGCAAGCATGGTGTCCTTGTGGTTGCGCAGTCAGGGTTAGTCAATATGGAGACCTTGTAGTTTTTGACCAGGAAGTTTTAAGTTAGATAATATGAATTTTGTCAGTTTAGTCTGAAGGATGACTAGTTGACGAAATTGATTTTTAATATAAATGGGTCGGATGGACATTTGCTGATTTTTAGGTATCT